TATCATTTATTCCAGTCTAACCTGGGGAGTCGGGTTAACCACAAAATCCCTATAAAAAATCATTTGCTTTTTTTGTTACTAGATTTCACCCAGTAAGTGTCTCAACATCTACTCAAGGTAGAGGTTTACTGAAGGACGTGTGGAATAAGGTGATTTTCTAAGCGTAGCTTTCATGTGGCACAAGGCCGAAAGTATGGGGCACACAATGAGAATCGTACTCACTATGGAGTCGTAATTGACCTAGCGAGACAATCTTGCGAACCATTGCACTAGGTCGAAGTGCTCCTGAAGTGTGGGATATAAATGTTAGAAGAGCTATAAGGAAGTGAAGATTATGAGGATAAGCAGGATAGACAACGATTGACACTTGACTTGAAAATGTTAAGATTATAGTGTTAATTGATTAGATTTGATTTTTTATGGCTTATCAACCATTTGTGGATTTGTCTAGATTTCTTAGATGAGGTATTGTAACTGTTTATAATATTTACATCAATATCTGTCTGTATTTCTGAGATGAGGTATTATGTACACTATCTACATTCTTCGCACTATCATCCTCATCTTTGTTGCCGTATTTATCACAACGTTTTGGCCGTTGTACGCTCCGGCCTTCTTTGTAGTTGGAATGTCGAACTGAATCCTTTATTTCGCTCGCTGAGGTAGTCTGTTCTAGTTCCACGTGCCATTCTAATGGATATCAGTTATCAGTTATCTCTTGTTATTAGGTTGGTGCAAAAATAATGACGTAATAATGTCGTTTTTTGACGTATATTTTAACGTCAAAAACGACATTATTACGTCATTATTTTTGCACCAACCTAATAATTTACCCCTCCAAGTTCTCCACTGCCTTAACCAACAATCCAACCACCTGAAGAAGGCGTACAACGGCCGAAACGTTGTGATAAATATGACAACAAAGATGAGGACAATAGTCTGAATAATGTAAATAGTATATTATTTACATCATTCGGAGTGCCATATTCCCGACGTTTCGACCGTTGTACGTTCCAGCCTTCTTCAGGTGATATACGTTAAAATTTAAAACCAAACCTTTTATTTAGTACACGGGGGTAGATTGTTCTAATTCCACATGCCATGCCTTTTTGGAAATTATATCAGTTAAGAGTTGTGAGTTCAATACCTAGCTGCAGCAGAAGGAACACAAACTTGGGGAGTTGAGTTACTAAAGCGAATTAACTGAAACTGAAATTACCAAAAAGAGGCATGTCATGTGGAATTAGAAAAACATCTATCCCCATGGACTAAATAAATGGTTTGGTTAGAAGTTCCAACGTATATCGCCTTTGTGGTTTATTTAAGACCGAGACCTATTTCGGATTGCTGGAGGTCGTTTCCAGTACCCGGGGTTCGCAAGCGGTACCCCAACTAAGTACTGACCGGTTTCGACACTGCTTAACTGCAGTGATCGAACGAGAACCGCTGTTTTCAACGCGATTTGACCCTAAGCGTAGATTTTTTTTTTTCGGGAAGCATCCTCCGAAGAGTATGACTTTGTAAAAAAAAGATATCTAAGTGGAATTTCTACATTACAAATGGAATACAAAAATTAAATAAAGAGGGCCCAGCGAGTCCTAACTATAAAGGTCTGAACTGGTGGAACTTAAGAATGGAGCATGTCAGAAGATTTTTCAACGGAAATAAGAACAGAGTAGCAATAGGCTTCCGATATTGCGTCTGTGGGGAAAGAGGCTGCAGAGTGGAAAACTAGTTTTCCCCGACAAAATTTGGTATAGTTACGGGTCTGTGTATCACAAGGAATCTGAAAGTGTATAGAATATACATAAAAGCCTTAGGAATAATTGTGAACTTAGAAAAAAAAAAGGATTAGCTCTTAAATAACGAACGTAGATAAGAATCAGCGATTAAACACGTATAATTTTCTCCTTTTCAGGAAAAGGAAAAATATATTTTAGATTCACTGGAGAATGATAGATTTATTATAAAAATCAGAAAATTAAGAAAGTCGGAGTTAACGTTCACCATCTTAAACTAAACGGTATCTACCAGTTAAAATGGCGTCCTGAGTAAGACTTTAAACTACGTCCCACAGCAAGGCCTCTGATCAGGAGGTTTTGAAGAGTATGGAACCACCTTTTAATTGCTGGTGTTCCCAGGTCCACCCTGACCCAGGGTGGTAGCACCTGTTAGGGTCCCAGCTATGGGCAAATATTTAATCACCAAACTGGGGTCAAAATATTGTGAAAGTGTAAAAATAGGTTTTAATACCAGCAATAATTTTTTTGAGGAAAAATTATTAGCAGCAATACATAATTACCAGCAATACATTTTTAAAGAAAATAAATATTACCAGCATTTTTGAGGAAAAATAAATTACCGAAGATACATTTTTGTAAACAATTATTACATGCAATTACATTATTACCAACAATACATTTTTGAAGAAAAAATATTACCAGCAATACATTTTGGAAAAAAATTTACCAGAAATAAAAATCTCGTCGGTATTAAATAAACAATTGAGGTTGATATGCCATAAAAAAAACAAAAAAAAACAAACCATTTAAAACGTTTTATTGCATCATTAAAAACATTTGTAACCCCCAAATTCCAGCTGTTTCGTTCTGATTGTAAGTATACGATTCTTTGCAGTTCCTACGTGACATGGATACGCTTCACGTCATGTCAACAGAAAACGTGTGACCAAGAAGGTGCAATGAGAATAGCATTAGCCATGCTGACGTTTGCCGAAAAATTCTTCTCTATGATGATTAGAAAATAGCAGTTTCATTTTGGTAGAATTAAAATTTACAAGCCATTTCTTGCCCCAGTTAAGAACTGCTTGGAGATCATTGTCGAAGGCAGCTGCCAGTTTAGATTTGCCAAACTAAACGGTCTTACTATTAAGACAGGTGTAAATAGTTGTGTCATCAGCATAGATAAGGAGTTGAGAACTGATGACATCGGAAAGGTCATTGATGAAAATTAGAAATAATATTAGCCCTGGGGAATACTTGCATTAATGTAAGATGATCTAGAAGAGTGGTCATTCAAGATAACCTTCATTTTGGGAGTTGATAAGAAAGATTGAACCAGTTTCTATTAAGACAGGTGTAAATACTTATGTCATCAGCATAAATGCCTCGTTGAAAACTGATGACATCGGAAAGGTCATTGATGAAAAATAGGAATAATTTAGGATAGAGCCCGGGGGATAGTTGCATTAATGTAAGATGATCTAGAAAAGTGGCCATTCAAGACAACCTTCATTCTGTGAGTTGATAAGAAAGATTGAACCAGTTTCTATTAAGACAGATGTAAATAGTTATGTCATCAGCATAAATGCCTAGTTGAGAGCTATTTGCAGTCTTCCAGGGAATTAAAATATTTTATTTTCAACATTAGCAATTTGGTTCAATTGTCTCCTGACATATTTCAAATAACTCGATAATTTAATTCTCCTAAGAATGTTAGGAGGCACGGTGGAGTAATGGATATGTCTTTTGCAGTGTTACACTATTTACATTGTTTGGAATGTTATCCTCATCTTTGTTTTCATATTCACAACGTTTCGACCGAAACAATGTAAATAGTGTAAACACAAGGAAAAAGCAAAAATAAAATGTTCGGTTCAACGCATATCATCTGAAGAAGACGTACAACGGTTGAAACGTTGTGTTCGGTATGAAAATCCACACTATATGACCTGATGAAGACCGGAGCGTACAACGGCTGAAACGTCGTAATTATAAACAAGAAAGATGAGAACAACATTCCAAACAATGTAAATAGCGTAAATCGTTAGAATGCCTCATCTCAGAAGTATCGACAGATCCTGAAGAAGGCCGGGGTGTACAACAACTGAATCGTCGTAAATATTACAAATATAAGAACAACAGTCCGGACAATGTAAATAGTATAAATAGTTACAATACCTCATCTCAGAAGTATTGACAGATCCTGAAGAAGGCCGGGACGTACAACGACCAAATCCCGTGAATATGACAACAAAGATGAAGACAACAGTCTGAACAATGTAATTAGTGTAAATAGGTAAATCGACAGATCCTGAAGAAGGCCGAGGCGTACAACGGCCGAATCGTAGTGAATATGACAACAAAGATGAGGAAATCAGTCCAAACAATGCAAAATCGTGTAAATAGTTATATCAACTTGTCTGTTCGTAAAAAGATTTTTCTTTAGTAATTTTGGTTTTTATTAAACCTCTAACAACAAAATATTGATTTTCTATTATCGTTTTAGAAACAGTGATAAATCGATTCAAACATTGACAAATCGATTCCTGATTTCATGATATGTTATACTTTGTTTTTATTTACCTCAATCAAAGAGGGAATTTTTTTTTCTTTCCATCTAAAAAAACATTGGTAAATTTTCATTTTAAAACTCGAGCGTCATTCACTGCTGAACTATTTTCTTTCAGAAATTAGTACGCGCTTCCGTAAAGCGATTTTTTTATACTTAATTTAAGAAGAAAGTTAACTTTCAAATATATGTAAACATCGACAAAAAAAAGAATAACAAAAGAAAAAAACACTAACCTAATTTGAAAGTTAAACTTATCTTACTTTGTTATTCTTTTATTTGTCGATGTTTACATATATTTGAAAGTTAACTTTCTTCTTAAATTAAGTACAACAAAAAATCGCGTACTAATTTCTACAAGGAATTACTGTGAAGGAAGTAAATAGGCCCAAATTGTATACGTCCACCAACCAAATTCAGCACTGAATTACTTATCAATAAGCCGGTAATGGCTGACGAAAGACCAGAAAAAAGTCCTATTTTTTTCGGGTCGTTAACATCCAAAAAGGTAGGTTTTTTTATATCTAATTGTTGATTTGAGTTCAGCATATACATTTGCACGGAAATAAGACTATTTTGGAAAAAATTGAAGGGATATTAGCGCTCGGGTGTTAAAATAAAAATTTACCGAAACATTATAGTTTTCATAAGATCATCACTGGAAAATAAGAAATTTCAAGAAAATTAAACGTTCGACAACTTAAGTTAAAAAGTATCTACCGGGTAAATTGTTTCATTGTGTCTGTAAAATGATTTCTGACCCAGAAATTTTAACCAGTTTTTTCTGATTGTAAGTATAGGTTTCTTTATAGTTCCTACTTTCTTTCTTCGAGATTTTCTCATTTTACATGCTACCTCTATGAATTCATATATATATATATATATATATATATATATATATATATATATATATATATATATTCATAGATGTTTCATTAAATAATATAGACAAGTGTTGTCCATTTATTTTATATAAATTCTTAGCTTAGATTGGATTAAAAAAATATGGATCAATATTGTGATTTTCTTTCTTCGTTTAATGATAATGCTATTAAGCTTATCAGACGATATGAAAAGAATTTACCTAAAATAAATAGGCAACACTTGTCTATATTATTTAATGAAAAATGTATGAATGAAAAAATGCTGCCTAAATACACACACACACACACACACACACACACACACACACACATATATATATATATATATATATATATATATAGTTAGTGCAAAAAAAAATAATGACGTAATAATGTCGTTTTTGACGTTAAAAATACGTCACAAAAACGACATTATTACGTCATTATTTTTGCACCAATCTTATATATATATATATATATATATATATATATATATATATATATATATTATGTATTTAAGCATTAATCCTCTTTTCATGCAAGTTTCATTAAATATGGCAGACAAGGTGTTTTTAGTTTTTTATTTTTTCTAATATTTGTTTTTCTTTTCGGATGATAAATTATATAAAAACTGTTCAACTGTTCTTTTTATCCGCGCGCTTTCGGCTATACATTTAGCCATTTTCAAGGTTGAAATTTATTAACTGTTAACAAGAAATAGATTTTTTTATGTATGTATTTATATAATATTTTCGTTTTCAAAACACGGTCAAGTTATTGTGTCCATGCTCATAGTTCATATTATTGAGTGTTGTTTTTTGTTTTTGTTTTTGTTTTTATTATTAAGGCTTCCATTATTTTTAGCCTTTTTTTTTATATGAAGACGATGTTATTATATTTTTGTTTTCAATAAGTATGTTGCGAATTGCTCATTTAGGTCTCATTTAAATTCTCATGAAGACCTACCGGACCCTATTCGCAACATACTTGTTGATAATACAAATAGCATCGTCTACAGGCAAATAAAATTAGTAAAAATAATAGAAGTCTTATTAACAAAAAGCTATGGTCGAAGAAAAAAAGATCAGACCGAATGCGGCCAACTCCCGAAGACCCCAAGTGGCGGAATAGGCAAAGATATACACGATCTCAACAGTCAAACCGGCAGAAGGGCAACGCCAGTCGGGCTGGCGTAACCAAAGGGGACCTTGAGAAACTATCAGACAGCCCGAGTGTATGGGCTTTTTCCGTTGCACAGAGAGAAAGAGAATAGAAAGAGAGGATGACGTTCCCGATG